CACACACACACACACACACACACACACACACACACACACACACACACGTTTGTCAGCTCTTAGTGCAGCGAATGGAGATAATGCACTGAGAGCTGTACAGCAGTGTGGTGTTTGTTTTAATTGATCTCGTCTCAGCACCGACTTTGTTTTGATGCTGCTGTGAATTCATGCATTAGTAAACGGCCGAGGGTGGGGGGCATTGAGTTTTAAATGATGCTTTATCAAACACTTAGACTGAGATGTTTCAGAGAATATTTCTGCATAATTATGGGTAAAGTAACAGTCCGGAAAAAGATAATGAGTTTATTTTCAGATGGACTTATATTTATTAGCGGTCCTGGAAATGTGAAGGTGTCTTATTTTTTGTTTTGTTTTGCCAGTTCTGTGGAAAAAAGCTGAAAAATAAAATATGAATAAAACAAAGTTGGGGCAGTATCAGTTACAAAAGAATCACTTGTTTTACAGCCTGTAAGGAGTAAATGATGATGGAGCTGCGACTGAACAAAGAAAGCTGAGCTTTCAAAGTATGCGCTTGAGATGAAGCCTTTTTCTAAAAGTGAACATAACAAGGTTGGCACAAATGCTCGTGGTGAATATTGACCTAGTGCAAAGCTCTTTTTGCATGGGTCAAAAGCCCTCGAGGAACTTGTAATATCTGAATCCTCTTAATAGGATCCAGGCCAGCATGCCATCAACACAAGGCTTCACTTTAGTTGTTTCTGTCATCAAAACTGGAAGCTAATCTCTGTTCTTGTGTGGGTTTGACTGCAGTGGTCCATTTAAAATGAGAGAACAGGCCTGATCGCATCTGACTGTCCCGGTTCTTCACAGACTACTGGACACGGCGTGATGTCATCCTTCATGCTGTTGTGGTCACAAACCTGTTGTCTGGATGTAAAGTTGAGCGCGGCATCTCTGATGATAAATCTGCTACATGCTGTGGGGCTGTTTTTCTCATGTTTAGATCACCTGTGTCTAGAAAACATGCTGGTTTGGTTGTATAGGAGGGAATTCCAAAGCTTTCTCCTGACCAAAATTAAGCATTTCAGCATTTCACTGTCCAAAGCGTGGAGCCTAAACAAACTTAGCAAACACAGGCCATGTTTGCAAAATGTTAGTTTTAATGTGGACGTAGCAGAAACCCACAAATACTTAGTGTTTCATAGCATTGAAGATGTAAAGCTTAGAAACCAAGAGAAATCTGAAGATCGCTGAGAGGTTCATAAAGAGCACAGTGCCAGTTTGAGACCATGTAGTATTAGCAGAGGTCCACAAAATTCTGCTCTCACGTTCTCTTTTTCAAACAATCTAAACAAAGGAGTGGTTTGGAAACTTAAAACCATTAGAGTTATCAACTCATAACCATTTAAAAAAAGGCAAAAACTTGTTTAGACACAAACCTCTTTTAGGATATTTATATGCAAATGTAGGCAGTGAAGAAAACTTTAGAGCTAAGGTACCAGATGTCTTTGGAATTCAGATTTTTTGTTTATTTTAAGATGTATTTTTGTCTGCTGTAACACTGACCTGTGTGCTCTTTGGTCTTTTCCCAGGCCCACCTTTCGCTATTTTACCTGGCATACGTGTGTTTTGGGCATCATCGGTTGTGCTGTCATGATGTTCCTCATCAACGCCATCTACGCCTCGGCCAGCATCGCCTTCATGCTGCTCCTGCTGCTGTTGATTCACTACCTCAGCCCCACCTCCAGCTGGGGATACATCAGCCAGGCTCTCATTTTCCACCAGGTCTGACAGACACACAGACACACACACACACACACACACACACACACTCTCCGTACTGCCCTGTCATTACTATAGCAACTAAAATCTCATCCCCTCCGCTTTACAAGAGCCTTTTCCTCTGCCAAGCAATCATTCTATCAGGTTTATAGACACACACACACACACACACACACACACACACAAAGGCAGCTCCCCATAGCCTCTCCGTCATCCAATCACTTTCCATTTAACACACACACACACACTCTGTGTTTTATTTATTTATTTATTTAGCTTTCTTACACATTATACCTCGCCGTTCCAGCAGCAGCTATCTATCAAGTTTATATCAGGCTTACCAGACACACACACACACACGCACACACACACACATCTGCATGTATTCCCACAGCAGCTCTCTTCATTTGTGGCACAAACGCACACATCCCCGGAGCTCTCCATAATCCAGCTCCTCTCGTCCTCTGGCTGGCGAGCCTGTTGCTCTCAAGGAGAGGGGCAGATCGTTGCCAGGAGGGCCCCCGGCCCAGAGGAGCCGTTGCCAAGGCTGCAGTCAGGGGTTACGGGCAGGGAGGCGAAGCTGGCCGCGTTTTCCAGCCGCTCCCCAGGAGACGGAACATTATTACATCCACTTAACTTATTGTGCTTTTTCTTTTTTTTTTTTCTTCGCCTCCCCTTCCTTTCTTTTCTCATTCTTACTCCCCCCATCTCCACCCACCTCACACTTGTAATCATCCCGAGACAGCAGTCGCATCAGTGAGTTATTCTCAGCCCACAGATCTAAATGACTATCCGAGGCAACCCCGCCTGACATTATCGGGTGCTTATAGATTAAAACGGGCTTTAAAACGGACATCAGTCCAAATGGATGTGCTGTTGACGTCTCATGTGTTTTCGTGGGTTCCCCTTTTCTTTGAATCTGACATTCCACCAATGACTGGACTCAATAATGTTTTGGCTTTACGGGAGGTTTGACTACATCAACATTGGCAATGTGATGACCCTCGTTGCCTCGGACTCTGTCCGTAGCGTTTGTCACCATTCACAGCACAGAGAAGCGTCACCACCCGAGGTTATTACAGACAGCACAGACTTCCTGTCACTCAGTCAGCTTCTGACCCCAGATCAGTAGATTTCTAACCTCTTTAGGTTACGTGTTGTTTATTCCAATGATCCTCAATGAGCTGTAATAAGTTGGCTGTTATTATCTGATACAACAAAGACTGAAGATTAGAAAGACTGTCTTTAAGGGTCCTGATAAACACTGAGGAGGTGTTCATAAAATGGTCGTGCAACCAGGCCCGCCCATCCTGCTTCTCCAGGCCCAACCTGCCAGAAGTGTGTGCCGTTTGTTGTGCCGTGTTCACAGACAGTTACAAACAGCAGTAATTAACTAATTTCATTCCATGTTTAAATAAAGTAGATTATTAGGCATTCATTTAAATACAACGCGTATGCAGCATGACTGATCATATAGTACAGAGATGTGTGGAAGGTGTTTATTAGGTAATTAATCATTTCCATGAACTTTAAATGCAAGCCCTAAAATAATTGAAGACTTTTTTTTGTAAATGAGCTTTCTCATTTTGCAAATCCCTCCCTCTGCTAACAAACAATCCCAAACCCACCTTAAGCAGAGCCCCCGGTCTGTGCCAGCTGGGTGACATTGAAACGGGGACAAAAAAAAGACACAGCAGCTCGTCACAACAAAGACTCACAGCTGGAGAAAGAAGCCGGTGAACGGGAGAGGAAACGTGTGGAAAAAGACAAACAGAGGGAAGAAATGTTGATTTGTATCATGAGGAGAGAATGTGGGTGCAGAATATAAGTAGGCAGAGGGGTGAGTGGGTGAGAATCCAATGATGGATGAGACACAAGCAGCGGTGGAATGATGATAGCCTGATGGATGAGCAGACTGGGAAATGGAGAGATAAAGAGGGACAGATGATAAGAGTGAAGGCAGTCGGACGTTGCCTCTGGGACCTTCGTTTTGTCTTTTACAGCAACAATTGAGGCGATTATGATGGTAATAATGCTGTTTGCATCTTTACTTTTGATGAATAGTTGTGTTGATACACAGCTCCTTCAGGAAATGGAGCTGACTTTGGAGTCTTTTTGGCCTAAAGAGTTTTTTAAAGAGTTTAAACACAGTGGGGGGATGTCCTTAGAATGTTCAGCATCATATAAATGTTTTCAAACTGGCCAGAATTTGAAAGCCTCAGCTTTAACATGGGGACACAATATGAATCTATCAATCAACCAATCAATCATTTCAAAGGAGGTTCTGAGTGAGTGTTAATCATCCCATGTAGACTTCCGCTTTAGCCCCAATGTGTGCCACCTCCACAGCACAGAGCGAGAATCCCAACCACGGCTGTGCTGGGCCACGCTCTCTAATACATATTAATACACACTGGCATTTACATTTACATTCATAAGCCATCACACACAGGCACATTTGTCACCGTGACAATCTGAATGACACAAATGTGCATAAGCACACACCAACATGCTCATGTATCCATACAGAAACGCGCTCAAACCGTGCAGTCCGGGTCCTAATGGGATGTTGATTACTGCTGTAATTTGTTCCCCTGGAAAAACCTGCTACGACACATGCATACTTATAGGACTAACGCTCGTACACAAGGCCGTCTCCGGAGTCATTGATAAAAAAGGAATGGTTTGACATTTAAGAAGTAGACTAAATAGATTTCTTTTTGTTCCGTGTATCTGTTTGGTAAATGTGAAGTCAGCTTAACTCAGTCAGCTTAAGATGGCGAAAGTCTCTTGAATTGGGTAACTGGCTCAGCAAATAAACGTCCTGTATTAGAAATTAGAGCATGGAGTATTAGTCATGGTGGCTTAAGGCACATAACTGTAATGCTGCAGCCATGGGGAACTGAAGAAGCACATGTATTCACACACTAAGTAAACAATTCAGGTGAAGTCACCTGCAGACATTGAAACCAGTCATGGTGCAGGTTCTTCTCTGTTTGGGGGGAAAAATCTGATTTGCAGCCTCACATTTCCCCCTCCCTGTCTGAAGGTGCGTAAATACTTGCTGATGCTGGACGTAAGGAAGGACCACGTCAAGTTCTGGAGGCCCCAGGTCCTTCTGATGGTCTCCAACCCTCGCAGCAATGTGGGCCTCATCACCTTCATCAACGACATCAAGAAGAGCGGCCTCTACGTGCTGGGACACGTCCAGCTTGGAGACCTTGGTGAGGACACTGGAATGGATCATTTTCAGACTCTTTTAGAAACTGTTTGACATGTTGAACATGATAATGATATTCTGTGGCACCAATGAAAACACTTCAAAGCTTGTTTGTGTCTTATAACTCACTCTGCCGTTAGGTGCTTTTAGATGGCAAACGTTTAGCTCTGCAGACAATTTACTGATTCACAAAAATTAATAGAATTCTGTTCAGTATGATTTCTACATCACTATCAAAGGCACTTCATCAATAAAGTCTAGTACAAGTCCAATTCCACAATCTATTTTAACGGCATCCTGTTATGGTCCACTGGAAACGTTATTAATTAAACTGAGATTGTTATTTTATTCCATTTCGTTAATTGCTGTTTTTGAAAAAAAAAAAAAAACATTTCCAAGGAAACCAGGAGACTCTGAGCAGGAGCTGTGTGAGGCGGTCGTCTTCCAGCACAGGTGTCAGTCTCTGGTCATATTTGGGCCGCCGTCCTGCCGGTTTTCTAAGTTTCCCTGTTTCGGCACACCTGTGCGCGTCAGCGTGTGGTCAGCCGGCCGTGCAGAGCCCTAACGGTGGACGCTCTCATTCAGTCAGCCGTGCAGAGGCACTGCTTTACTGCTTTATAGTAAAAGGAGTTTTCACACATGCTGCTCTGAAGCAGCCCGCTTTCATATTTCCAACTTGCTGGGTCACTGATTGTCTTTTTAAATGCTCTTCCAATGATCTTGTAAGAGCCTTGTGGAGAGTGATGTTGAGGAAACAAGACCAGCCTCGATTGAAGACGGCAGAATTAGAGCTCTTTAGAACTGCACCATGAAAATGATGTATTATATGTGTTTGAAGAGCTATTCTCTCATTTCATGAACCTCTTGGTCTGGATATGAAGGAGCTAATCATTTACAGAATAACGGCGTAGTGGATGTTTAGGATTTTGCCGTATTCGCTTTCTTGGATGTGAGCTCGCTGCCGGTAAACCGTGTTCCTAACCTGTTCCTTCTTCCCCACTCAGACACTTTACCGTCGGACCCCCTGCAGGCCCAGTACGACTCGTGGCTGTCCCTGGTGGACCATCTAAATATCAAAGCCTTTGTCAACTTGACACTTGCGGATTCTGTTCGTCATGGCGTCCAGCATCTTCTCTTCATTTCAGGACTGGGTCAGTCTGCATGTGAAGATATTCAAAGGTTCTACTTATTTTGATGGGGATCTCTGCTCTTCCATCTTATCAATCCTCATTCACATCATTCACAGCTCTATTAACAGTTCACACAAAGCAGACATGAACACATTTAAAGTTGCAGAAAAAAAATAGATGCTGAACTTTTCTTCTCTTGTATAAAGAAGTAAATTATTAATGCAAAGAAAACAACAAACAGATCGCCTCATCTTTCTGGTGTCTGTTTTTTTTCTCTCTCTCTTCTCTTTCAGGTGGGATGCGTCCCAACACCTTGGTGCTTGGCTTCTATGATGACTGTCTTCCAAAGGACAACCTGATTGATCCCTACATGTCCTTCAGCCAGTCCGCAGATCCTCTGAGCCCCCCCGGGCAAATGGAGCAACCCGTTCCTTTCCACTTTGCCTCTCTCCGGGGGTCCTGCGACAGACAGGACTACGGCGAGTCCGGGGACGGGAAGGTTCTCGGGCCCCAGGAGTACGTGGCGATCATCGCCGACGCCATGAAGATGCTGAAGAACGTGGTCCTGGCCCGGCACTTCCAGGACTTCGACCGGGCCCAGGTCCTCTCGCCGCCCTCCTCCTCGCCGGGGAAGGGCGCCGTGTTCGTGGACGTGTGGCCCGTCAACCTCCTGCGGCCCGACAGCTGCAGCTACGTGGACACCTGCTCCCTGTTCCTGCTGCAGCTGGCGTGCATCCTCAACATGGTGCGGGCCTGGCGCAAGGCCACCCTGCGCCTGTTCCTGTGCGTGGAGGAGGGGCGCAGCGTCAGGGGCTCGGAGCAGAAGCTGGGCCAGCTGCTGAGGGACCTGCGGATCAAAGCCTACGTCTACCCCGTGCCCTGGGACCAGGTGGTGGCCTTGCACTGGCAGCGCCAAGGCAGCTGGAGCAAGAAGCAGCAGGATCCGGACGCCACGGCGACGAGGGCTGAGGAGGAGGAGGAGGAGGAGAACGAGGACGACTACGTCAACAGCTTTCCGAGCAACGCCACCCGCCTGTCGGACGACTACCTGTCAGCCGTCAACAAGCTGGTCCTGGACCAGGCCCGGCCGCCCCCGGCCGTCCGCTTCCTGTACCTGCCGCGGCCCCCCGCAGACACCCGCCGCTACACCTCCTACCTGCATCAGCTGGAGCTGCTGACTCAGGGCATGGGCCCCACACTCCTCATTCACGGCGTGACGCCCGTCATCACCACGGACCTCTGAATGCCGACCCCAAAAACACAGAGAGCTGGTAAGCATCTCCACCTGCACGGCCGCACAGATCCAAGACGTCCACAGTCCTCCTCAGAGTGCGGGACGAGCCGTGCTTTGGGATGCGGAATGTTTACTCCCTGCTCCAACCCCTCGTTGCCTCTGCGTTTGCACCACCAGCACAGGTATTCCCATAGAGCTCAGACGGCACAGGTGGGTGAGCCTCGGAACAATCACACTGTTGAAATGTACCAAAACGGGTCATTCCTTATGTCTTAAGATCAAAAAGTGCCAAAGCAATCTGTTGCATTTCCATGTGAGGAACACACACCAAAGTTCCCCTTTTGAAGTGTAACAACAGCCTGTTCTTTGATGGATCATTCCAACATGGATTTTTGTTTTCATCGTAATCTCAGGAGGAAGTTCCTATTATCCTGACACACTTTGGCCCGGATACTTATTGTGCAGCCTTCCTGAAAGACTTCCACATGTTTCCCACACCGATATTCCTGCAATCATTCCTGGTATTTTATTGATTTGTGTATGTGTCTTAGGTACTAATCACTTTGGCTCTTCACTCAGCGGTGGTCTCGCTGATCGACTGGACTCCTGTTAAATTGCCTAAATAAATTTAAATACCCTTTTGGCTCTGTGGCCTTCAGTCGTTACTCAGAGTCCACGTAATGTTCAGCTTTATGTGAACTCCACTGAACTGTGTGAGGGAGTCATTTCTCAGATGTTTGTACTAGCCAACATTATGTTTCTGTTCTGTGATGTAGAACTTCCCTTTTCTTTGGGACAGTGTCTGTGTTTTGGAATAACAGATGCTTCTAAGATATAACAAACTACAACCAAAGAATGGAAAAATAGAAACGCAGGGTGCTCTTGCCAGGGTGGGTCAGTGGGTCGAGATCTGCCTGTGGAGGCATCTTTGGGGTCAGACATTGAGCCCCCAGCCGGTCCCAGAGGCTGGAAAGGCAGCAATCAACACTCCTTTCTATTTACATTTAGTCTTCTTTTCTTAACCTATTTCATTCTTTATCACTCATCCTATATTATATTTATTCTTTATTCCTCAATTTATTATCTTATTTACTGCCTTTTCTCTTTTTTTTGCTGAGTATTTTTTAATTTATGTATTTTATTTTAAAGTTTACTGTGTTTTGCCTAAGTCTAGCTTTTTTAAATTTCCATTTCCATCCGTATTTCCATTTCTGGGTGTTTCATTATGGAGATGAGTGCCGTGTTTCACAGCGTATCACAGACCCAGCTTTTCATCCACCGTCACAACATATAGAAA